CGGCCCGCCCCCCCTGCACCCGATGCGGCAGCCGGGCTCCCAGTCCTTGAACGCCCGCGGGAACTGCATCTTCCCAGAGGTGACTTTGTAATACAGCCTGCAAGGAAGGGGCCAAAAGTCACTTTCAGGGGAATGGTCCAGGGGACAGAAACAGGGCAGCACCTGTGCTCATGTAGTCACACAGTCCTACCAAGCTCCTGTGGTCTCCCTGGACCTGTGTCCCCAAGACAGAGCTGGCAGGAGGCTGCTGCCACCCCCTGACATCCTGGGCTGAGAGTGCAGCAACTCCTGCAAGTCCCACTGGATGCCAAGCTCTGCCCACTCTCCCCTGCCAGCAGCTGGCTCCTACCCGAAGCTGGGGTTGATGTTGATGTGGTGCATGCTCTCCACCATGCGGATGTCACTGCCCCGGCACACAGCCACGTTGCAGTTGACGCAGTAGAAGAGAACAGTGTCCGGGTCATGCAGCCGCCGCTGCTCGCTGATCCTGGCCTCCTTCATCAGCCAGGAGGCCACAGCCACACGCTGCAGCTCCATGATCTGCAGAGGGCAGGGGAGATGACATGGGGAGGGACCAGGGGTCAGCACAGAGCAGTGGGCACCGAGTCTTGGAGAGATGCACCATGCCAAAGAGCATGAGCTGCATGGCAGGACAGCCAGGGCAAGGCAGGATGGGAAGGGCACATGCTGTCCCATGCACCCTCCTGGCAGGTGCCAGTGCTGCCAAAGGGGAGAGCAAATAGTCAAAGCCAGGGGCAGAGGGCTGTTGGCAGCAACCATGGGCAGCAGCTGCTTGGCCCTTCTGGAGCTCAAGGCAGTGCCTGGTGCTCACCTTGAGGTGATACTCTTCCTCAGGCATAGCCTGCACTGCTCTGGTCGCCTCCTCCATGAGCTCCACCAGGTTCTCGTTGAGCAGCTCACGGGAGACCTCTCTGCTGTTGGCTTTGGCAACAACTGAGTAGACACTGTCCTGGGTACGGGCACGGCCACGGGCCTGCAGCAGAAGGGCCAGCAGATAAGGGACTTGGCTTGCCTCCCTGTGCCGCAGCCACACGCTGCAGCTCCATGATCTGCAGAGGGCAGGGGAGATGACATGGGGAGGGACCAGGGGTCAGCACAGAGCAGTGGGCACCGAGTCTTGGAGAGATGCACCATGCCAAAGAGCATGAGCTGCATGGCAGGACAGCCAGGGCAAGGCAGGATGGGAAGGGCACATGCTGTCCCATGCACCCTCCTGGCAGGTGCCAGTGCTGCCAAAGGGGAGAGCAAATAGTCAAAGCCAGGGGCAGAGGGCTGTTGGCAGCAACCATGGGCAGCAGCTGCTTGGCCCTTCTGGAGCTCAAGGCAGTGCCTGGTGCTCACCTTGAGGTGATACTCTTCCTCAGGCATAGCCTGCACTGCTCTGGTCGCCTCCTCCATGAGCTCCACCAGGTTCTCGTTGAGCAGCTCACGGGAGACCTCTCTGCTGTTGGCTTTGGCAACAACTGAGTAGACACTGTCCTGGGTACGGGCACGGCCACGGGCCTGCAGCAGAAGGGCCAGCAGATAAGGGACTTGGCTTGCCTCCCTGTGCCGCCCTATGAGGACTGATCCACTCTCTCCACCCTGCTGTGCCTTGCTAAGGAGATTCTCTGCCGGGGTTGGGCTGATCCCCAGGGAGCTCCCAGCGGGCACAGAGGAGGCGAGAGACCCATCTCCCAGGCCCATGGCTTTGGGGAGTCCCAGCAGGCTGCATCCAACACAGAGCTGGGCAGAGTGGCTGGAGGGAGCCTGGGCACCTGCCTGCATCATGGCGATCTCGTTGGTCATCAGCCCGTAGCGGATCACGATGTTGCACTCCGGGATATCCAGGCCCTCCTCAGCCACGCTGGTGGAGAAGAGCAGGTTGAGGGTTCCCTCATGGAACTGCCTGATCACATCCTGCTGCTCGCTCTGGGGATAAAGAGAGGACAAAACTTCAGCAGCTGTGTAGGGCCCCCAGCCCCTAGCACCACCTGCAGCACCTGCAAAGTGTGCAGAGAGGAAGGTTCAACTCCTCCCCAGCCTCCACTCACCGGTGTCATGTGCCTGGTCTGGTTGCTGTAGCCGGAGCCGGTGAGGACAGCAGCCCTGATGTGCTGCCCGTGGAGTGTGGCTGTGTCCTGCAGCCAGCTGAGCAGGCTGTGGGCACTCTGCCGGGTCTTGGTGAAGACAATGCCACGAGAAGTGCCCAGAGGCTGGAAGTTCTCCCGCAGGATTTCCTCCAGCTTGCACAGCCTGGGGTTCTCATAGCGCTGGTCCCTGGCAAGCGCCTGCAGGATCTTCCTGTTCTCTGTGCAGGAAAATGGGGGATCAGGGAATCCCCATGCACCCCCACACACAGACAGTACCAATCTCCCTCCAGACCCCTCTGTTACCCTCAAATATGGCAGTGAGGAACTGTTCGGTTGGGTCTTTTGTGTCCCGCTCAGTCTCATAGAACTGCTGGAGGCACTGGAAGGCGTCGACCATCCGCACGGCGTCGTGGATCAGCAGCGCGTCGTTGTACTTGCGCAGGTGCAGCGCGCACACCCGCGTGCGGCGGCAAAACGTCTCTGCCCCTGGTGGGGCAGGGACACGCCACGTCACAGCCTGGCCCCGTGGCCACCAGAGCTGCCCCATGCTGCAGCCTCCTCACCTCTTTTCTCCAGGTCTACGATGTGCTGCTCATAAATCTGCGTGCCAAAGTCCTGCGGCAGGCTGGGCATCCCCATGTACTGCTGGATCTGCTCCATCATGTTCTTCAGCTGCTCACCAAAAGGGTCCTGGGAGCAGAGAGAGGCTCAGGACCTGAGGAACCAGGGACACTGGTCCCGGCAGCCTTGGAGGCGCAGCCCAGAGCACCTGGCTTAGGGTTAGGGGCTGTTTGCACAGCAGGACCTGGATGGCTGCGGGATTCACCACCACCAAAGCTCTGGGCCAAGTGACTCCTGAGGTTGCCCGTGCTAAGTGATGGCAGGATATGGCTCCCAGCCCGCCAGGGTTCGGGGACTCATTCTTGTCTTCCACCCAGTGAATGGCTCTGTATCTTCCACCAGCCATCCCTCACCTCTGCTCTCTCCTGGCACAGGTCGTGCTGCTTCCTGGGCTGGGGAACATGGCTCTGCAGCTGCTGCAGCTCCTTCTGCACTGACACAATCTTCTCGGTGTCCAGGTTGGCACAGATCTGAGAGGGCAAGACCCCATTTCTAGTCCTAAGAGGCACCAGTTGCCCAGGGTGATGCAGCATGTGGTGCTCCCTGGCACCCTGGTGAGTTTGGGGATGTCTCCCCTGGGCTGCCCAGAGCCTCTGCGCCAGGTTAATACCCACCCCAAAGGATACCCCACTGCACCCCAGGGGAAACTGTGCCTGGGGCTGTTGCACTCTGTGCCAACACAAGACAGAGTGTTGGACCCACCTGCAGGATGTGCTCAACAGCCCCCTCAAAAGAGGTTGCCCCGCCAGTGCCAGGGGATGCTGTCAGGCCCAGGATCTGTGGCAGGTCCTGCTGCCCACGGAGCTTGTGCTGGAGGTAGTTCAGCATGATCTTGTTGTAGACGGCTTCCTTGTGAGTGTGGTGGCACTCGTCTATCACCAGCAGAGAGAAATCTGCACCGGGGGAGGGACGGGAGGGGGGTGAGCAGAGGCCGAGGCTTGGCCAGGGCAGTGTCCCCCCAGCCTGGCTGAGGGGACAGCAGGGCTGGGGATCCCGTGCCCACCCGTCAGCTCCAGGGACGTTTCCTCCTCCCTGCTGCTCAGCGCGTTCTGCAGGATCTGGGCTGTGCAGATGACAACGTCGCTCTGCTTCACCAGGGAAGCGAAGAAGAACCTGCGGTCGCTGTCCCCGCTGATGGCGATCACCCTGAAGTCCTTCTGCAGCGCCTGGAACTCCTTCTGGGCGTGCTGCTCCACCAGGTGTGCCTGCACCGCAGACCCCGCTCAGCCCCGGGACCCCCGGCAGCCCCGCGGTGCTGGCGGCCCAGTATCCGGGAGAAGGGGTTCGGGAGGCACCTTGTTGACCAGCACGGCCACTCGCCGGCCCCGCCGGCTCTCCAGGTGCTGCCGGCCGGCGAAGGCCGCGC